GTCTAGTGGCTGAGAGCGAAATCACTCCCCTGCTCTAAACACAGGGCTTTGTTGGGCTGGAGTGACCGCCGTACAGCAGATAAAATCCTCCTTATTTGCCTTTACAATGGACCTTTACTGCACAGCTACACCGATAACTTAACCTCAAAACCTCAGCGATACAGTTAAAAATGTCAGAGACCTTCCTGGGAGGAAACATTAAGCAGATGTGATTGCTGTACGAGTAGAGCACATGCATGAGGACACACCATTTCCCAAGAAACTCTGGGGCAGGATTTTTTCCGGTCAGCGAGGTTACTTTTTTTCTTGTGGTTACGTTTTTCAACATTTCATTCAAATGAATGGGAGTTCTGGGGCATGACTCAGATGAGAATGAGCCATAAAAAGAAACAGCCTGAGAACAAATACAGCTGTATTTCTCTCCTGCACCTCCATACTAAGGTGTCTCAGTGCCCTGTGTTTTCTTTTAGCTCCTTTGCACTAAAAGGGCTTTTATGATGCTGGGAAGGACAAATAGTTTTATATTAGAATTATCTAGTCATTCAAGCCAGGATGATCAGCCAGGACTTTCTGTTACTGCTCAGCCTATTTTTGCAGATCAGGATCTTTGTTTTGCCAGAGTTCATCAGAACATAACTAGTCTGTTTATCGTTAAAAAAAAGTGATGCAGCTAAATTATATTTATACCTGTGGGATGGGTGTCTAGTCATCAGGAATAGAAAAGTCCCGCCTGGGACTATAGTCTGTCATACAAGATTTTCTGTGCCTTTCAACACTTGTCTTTTAAAGCCTTATCTGTGGCTTGCAACCTCTTCAGGGCAGAGTCTTCCTGCTACTCAGTGCTCCTACAGCACCTAGCACAAGACCTGTCCACGTTATGTCTGTCTTCTAGGACAATACCATCTTTCAGACCACCTTCACAGCTCAGAGCCCTTGAGCTGTCAGAGCTAACACTTCTGGCAGCAGAAGCTGGCATTTGTGTTTGGATTGCAACCTATACAGTAAACTGCACTTATTTGAAGCTCTGTCTTACTTCTGCTGGCTATGCTGGTCCTGGTTCGCTCACCACTACCACTTAACAACTTCACTGTGCTGGTGGAACCACACCTGCTTGTCAGAGCACAGATGGCCAAGCTGAACACTTCAAGCCAGGCTTCATCATGCTGCTGTGTGAGGCCAAGGAAGTTCTGCCAGTTTATTTTATGGGAACAGACCCTGGCTGTGCTGACAACAAGAAAATATGCAAAGCTTCCTACGAGCAAAGAAAAATATAACGTCTGCACATTTTCACTATGCCTCATTTGTATCATATTTTAGTCACTCCTGTTCTTTCCTGTATTACAAGTAGTCTTTAATTAAAAATTGAAAGAAAAAAAGGGGGGATTCTTTCTGTTTTTTTTTTCTTTTGGCATCTTTCTACGCTTTGCACTGGCAACTTGCAAGCAGGCAAGCTTCTTGGGTAGGATTTCTCCAAAAATCTGCTTTTTAGCAAGTTTGTCAGGGCATCTCCCTAGTGAAACCAAGGGCAGCACTTAGGAGCAGTGCACTGAGAGTACACCCACTGAGAGCACACCCATTGCTGTCTGCCAGGCTCATCTCCCTCTCAAACTGCTCTGGCAGTTTCCCTCCCTCACGGGTCTCTGCCGACAGCCCTGGTAAGTCCCCCTTGAATGGCAAGAGCTGCTCTGCATCTCTGCTGAGCACCTGGGGCTCTGAGCACTCTCTGAGGCTATTGGCCCACCACTGTCCTCTGGGCTTATCTCAACTCTACCCCCAGTTTTGTCACTGTATCCTTCAATCCCCTCTCTCCCCATAAAAGTGTCTAGCTGTCTCTTAAACTCACTTTACCATTTGCTTCTTTGACCTCACTTGGCAACTTATCCCTGTGTTTATTATTTGAGGTGGAATAGTTCTGGCTACATTCCTGGTTTTACTCTTAATTGTCTAATTTTTAGAATGGTGTCAGTGGGGTTGGGATTTGGGTTTGGGCTTTTTTTAACTCATCACTCTTGTGACCAGGTCTTCTGTTTCACTAGGCTCCTTTGTGTCATCAGGACTCCCAATAACTCAAAGAATCCTAATGACTCTTTTATTGGATCTTTCCAAATATTGCAGCTGGGCTTTCTTGTCCATTAGTGCCATTCTGAACTGCACACACTGCCTTTAATTACTTTTTGGTTAATTGGAAGGCAGGGAGGAGAATGAGGATTTTCCTCAAGCAAAGGAAAACTGAGTGATTCTCCCTGCCTGTATTTGCTCCAAGGGGAAGGTACAAAGATGGTAAGAGCAGGACTAAAGAGTAGAACTTTTTCATGTGTTCTGGTAGCATACTAGTGCCTGCTGGTGGCTTTTATGTACCCACCTCATGCTAAGAAGTAGATCTAGGACCTTCTTGGAGTCCTTCAATCCACTCCAGTATTTTTTGTTGGGCTTTTAGACAAGGTGCAGGGAGCAGCTTGCTTACCATGTTGCATTTGCTGTCAGGTCACACTGATGACAGAAACAGGCTGCACATGACAAAGTTTTCTCAGTGCCTGCCTGGGGAAAGGGAAGGAGGAAGAAACACTGGTTTAAGGCACCTACCTGCATCTTCAGGAACCATTCCCAGTTGCTGTAAGGTTTGTTGTTGGAGCAGTGAAATGAATCCTACTGATATCCTGAAACAGACAGGCCTGGTTGGAGTGGCTTCCAAAATGAGCAACTTCCTTAACCCACCTTGGAGGCAGAAGGAAAGAGCTACTTCTTTACAAATCCCTCCCTTTCCCTTACAGGAATCATCACCTGTCTGAAGGACGAATTGCCTTCAGGTGGGCTGCCTAATTGAAGCAAGACAACACTTTGGTACCTCCTTTTTGGCCACTACAATCCACACCCATGAAGACCATGACATGCACGAAAAGAAGATCATGTGGTTACAACCCAGGCATGTTACAACCCTCTCATGCTTTCCTAAAGCAGACAGACACTTTGCTGGATTCACCTACCTTAAAAACATTGGTCAACCCCTGAATCCCAGCTGACACCACAAGAGAGGGAAGAGATCACATCCCCTTTCCTACTTAAGATACCATACCTCATGGAGTGGCAAGCAAAAGTAGAAGTGTTATCTATATAATTAACACTGACCATTCTGGGGGGGGGGGGGCTGTGAAAGCCAGAGGACAGGAACAGTGTGCCAATACCAGTAATACATTAACCATCAGCCAAAATTACAGCAGTCACTATTTTCAGTCTAAGAACAGAGGGCAGGGGCATAAAAGATTTGCTCAATTAATCGTGGGATTGAAAATTTTCCAGAGAGCTGAGGATACTTGTAAGATATAATAGAGCACAGCCCCCACATCTTTCATAGGGAGGTCAAGCTCACAGAAACTCAGCCTGCTGAGCAGTCTCTGCTTGTCCCAAACTGAGGAATCGCATGCTGAAAGAGCTGCTTCTGAGAAATTCATGCAGTAAACCACTTCCATAAAGGTGCCTGATAGAATCCTGAAAACAGGGAAGGGAAAGGAAAGGAACAGATATAAAATGTCTCTCGTGACAAAGACTGTAAAATAACTAGGAATAAAAGTTTCAAAAATCTTGTAAACGTTTACCATTGTCCTCACCATTCTTGGCAGTTTGGGGGATGTAATGCTCATCAAACAGCAGAGTAGCAGTAAGTCTTTCACTGAAAAAGTGGCGACAGCAAAAGCAAAAGGACATGCTCTGTCACTCATCAACCCACGCTTCATTTTTTGCAGCCATCTACCATTATTATTTGGCATGTGATTCCCCAAGCAGCAAACCAAGGCTGTAGCTATTTACAGGTCACTGGAAGTCTGGCCTGTGCTGCAGTGGAGTTCTGGCTGTATTTCACAAAAGATGGTTTTATTTATGTTTGACTGATGCAGGCACAACTGGAGGCTGATTTTTCTTTTTTTGGCTTTCAGTGTAAACACTCGTGGCAGCTCTCTATTTTGGGTGCTGACTGAAAACCAGATTGTTTTGTAGTTGCAGGAGGCTGCTGGGTAAATCACAGGACATTGTTATTGCAGCTGAACTTTTCTTTCAAGAAAGCAGGAGGAGTTGCTTTATTTTTTAATTCTGTGGAGTTTTATGTACACCGCTCGCTCCAAATATTTGATGTTTGCCACACTTGTTATGAGTTTCTCCAGAGAGATGCGGTCTTTTGACAGCAAAAGATAAAGTTGACTGATACAAATGACTCACAGTACCCCGACAGTAATTAACAGTGATGCAATACCCATGCGAAAAAGAGGACTTGAAGAATTAACTGTTGAGTTTTCTTGACGATGCAGCTGCACTTTAAGAGAGAAAGCTCAACCCATCATAAAACTCCATTGTGTACATTAGAGAAAAAAGCTTGGCAAGATACATTAAAGATTTTTGCTAAAGAGATACAAATATTTTGCAAGGGCAGAGGGCACTGAGGCAGGCTGTACTTACTTCCAAAGAAAAGTAGGCAGTATGACAAAGAAACAGTAATATTTTTTTATCTTCATTTTCACACTTCATCATCTAAGAAGGACTGTCTTTTTCAACCTGCTGAACTGATTTAAGCCACCCCAACTCTAAATTAACTTTTACTTAAAAGTCAGTCTATGACATCCTAATCTAAGAAGTTATCTGTGCTTATGGTTTCAGCCCAGTTCTATAGAAGGCCAGTACTGCTATTTATAAATGGGATTTTACTGTTCTATAAAGTTCTTATACAAATCTCACAGGTCGAAAGAGAAGGAATAGTTGGGTAAGAAGACGAACGATTGAAGCAACTGCTTTATAGCACAATATGAAACTTGACACTGTTTTCTGCTGCCAGTATGATTCCCAAGTGAGATGGATAAATTGTGGTCAAGACCTGGACAGGTTAACTAGTGGTCATCAGTGCTGGTGGTACCTTTATATACAAAAAAAAAAAAAAAAAAAAAGGATACTATTGGACAGGGCATTTGAAATTTAATACCAGACATGAAACAAGACATCTGTTGGACTCTCATTTGTTTCTCTTTGAATGGGCTTTAATTGAAAGCTCAGTGAAAAATGCAGGTTACATTCTTAGTGTTATCCATAGTTTTTAACAGCAACAACATCAGAACAGTGATGCTTCTAATATTTATACACTTTCTAACTGGAGATGTCTAAGAGCAATACATTATCAGATATATATATATACACACAATTTCAAGCAATGAAAAGTAAATAATAAACCCCTCCTCCCAAAACCCTGAAATAATATATTTCCTTACACTAATAATGTCTTTTTCACATATACTTGACAAAGAGTCTTTTTAAGTTACTTATCTTAAGAGTAATCTGTTAATGGAGATCCTGGACCAGCCCCATTAAAAGTTCAGTTTTAAGTTTATACAGCTTGTGAGCCACATAACCAGTGTGGCTTTACATTGTAAACAAATCCCAAATGTCTACAATGATCAGAATTAGTTTTGTGTAAAGGAGATCTATGATAGAATAAATTTAAACAAATACATTAAAAAGAGAGAGAGAAAGGGAGAGAGTTAATTGACAAACAAAACAGTTTTGAGAGATCAATTATGTGATTATTTAAAAAACAAGTTAACTTAATGGTAAGATTCTTATTTTCTGTACAGAGAGGCTCTGGTTCATCCAGCTTTAGCTGCTCTAGAAAGACATCCTTTAAAAAAAGGTTTGATTTGTGAAATTCAAAAGCAGAGCTTCCAACTTTAAAAGCCTGCCCTTTGGCAGTACGAGTACAAAGTTTACCAAAAGTATCTCAGGTGACTGTTCTGTCTCATTTTCTGAGGATAGATGTACCAGCATTTGGAAACCTCAGCATGTGCACAGATGATGTAAGCACAGAACTAACCTTCAACAGGGAGGAATCACCCTATCCACTGCAGGACTTAAAAAGGTACAACAATTTGTACCTGGAAAAGTTCGAGTGAGGATAACACAAAAAAAAAATGGAGACAGACGTGAAGCTAAGAACAGCTTATGGTAATCTTGAAACTGAGGCAATCTTGCTTACTTTTTAACAAAACCACAGGTAAAAATCTCTTGAACTTATTGAGTAGGAACTTGTGTAACTCCAAATGGAAGACAAGGCTGAGCAGAATCCTACGGTTTAGTTAACTTGTGTCAAATGGGATGCGAAGACAGCTGCAGCTCTCTGACAGAGGTGATCGAAGATGGCTGACAAAGTTTGCAGTAGCTCATAATGTCCCATCTGGTTTATTCACTTGTTTGAACTGTCTAAAGGGCCAACTGCAGCTTAGTCATGTTCCTCTGGTGCATGTTGTGATGACGAACTAATTCATCAGACCTGGCAAATTTTTTTTGACAGCTGGGCCACCGGCAACTGAAAGGCTTTTCACCTGTTAACAAAACACCCTGTTATTAATTGAGCATACAGCTCGTCTGAGACACTGCTATTTTTGTTCTTTCTATGGGGTTGTGAGGAGCTGGGCAGAGCCCCTGTCAGGAGGGAAGGTACCCTGGGCTGTCCTGAGAGGGTGTGGGACTGCCCCAAATTCCCGCTCACGTCAGCGCTCAGTGCTTTCCTACATCTCCCTCAGCTGATGTTTAACAACAGCCTTTTCAGATGATGTAGAACACTTTGCAGTGGTTCATTCCTGAAGAGAGGCCCTTGCTGAACACCGTGTTGCCATGTCTATGCTACTCTTAGCTCTTGAATGAACTAGCTTAAAAGTCACTTTGGCACTCGCACAAGCTTCAGTCGCACCTCGGGCTGTGGTGCAGACATACTGTTAGTCACTGTGAAAACTGTCAGTGACTATTTAGAACTTGACCTCCAGTCAAGGAGAGTTTTTTCCACCTAATTCAATGAGTTTTGGCTGAAGTTCTTTGAAACTGGTGAGTGTAAGTGAATGTGGTAGAAGCCGCAGAGTTCAGCATGAAGTCTGCCGAGCCAGACTCGAAGTTTTCCTCTACTGTTTGAATAAAGTGGATTCGCATCCATAGGAGATGTTAAATGCTCAAAATAGTATTGTTCTAACATTTCCATGAGCATGGTGTACACTACAAATGTCTACGAGCAAAGCACATTCAAATTTAACAATAAATTCTATGACTTTCTAGCAGTTTAATCTGGTCTCTTGATTTTCTACAATGTTTAAGTGGAATTTCAGGCTGTGTTTCTGATGCCGCAGGAATGCTGATGGAATGCTTTCATTAGCTCAGAGCAGTGCCTGGTGACTCATGCTTCTTTCTTTCATTTTCTTTCTTTTCCCCTCAAAATAAATGCAATATTTTAAAGTAGATTCAGCTCCGGGGCTGGGCTCTTGCTGTCTACACACCTTGTGCTCTCCAATACACTCGAGACACACTGGGGTGGTACAAGCTCACCCAGACATCTTCTTATTTGCCTCACACTTTGTGCATTTCACAAACATCCACATTCAGGCAAAAGGGGATCTGGGATAATGGTATAAATGTGTATTTCTGTTTGTAAACTCCCATGAGCTATACTTTAGGCGAGGGGGAGGGGGTGCCTAAAATCTATTTTATCCACTTAACACACATGCTGGCAAAAGCAACAACTATCTCACATGAGCACACAAAACAGTACAGCACAAAATTGATCTGGTCAGAGCTGCTGTTTAAAATCACAGATTGTATAAACCGGTCTTTCTTCACCCAAGCAGCATTAGCAAAACCATCCTATGAACTGATGTGAGTTACCTATTGCTGGCCAGTTTTTCATGCACCAACACATTAAGAGGAGCACAGTTTTGCTGTTTCACAAGCAACCCTGATTTTCCTCTCACAACAGGGGAGCAGCAATCTCTATTAGTTCTGTGCTGGGCACAAATTATTTTGTACGGCTTCATGGGACAGATATCAGAAATCACATTTCCATTGCTAAACACGTATATGGATGTATAGAGCTTTCCTCTAATTCATTTTTTTTGCTTTCTACAGCAAAGATTGCTGTCACAGTAAAATTGCTTGTGGGGAATAAAAAACCCTGAATTTTTAGCTGAACAAATAATTTGGTAGTTGACTTAAAATTAGGCTGGAATTAGACGGAAGACGCCTGTGCTTTGCTTCATCAAGATTTAACATGGAGCAAGCTAACTTGAGCTCGGTGCTTTGTTGCAAAATTTAGGGGACACAAGAAAGTAAGAGGAATAAAGCTACAGGGCAAGATGGAAATGAAAAATCCCCACCCTCCACTCATGCTCATTGCCCTCAGGACATGTGTATTTTACAGTCAGAGGAGCATGACACATCCAAATGCTGACAGGAGCATCCCCACAGCAGCACCCAGCTGGGCTGCACAGAACCTGCAGGCAGCAACAGGGGCCCGGACCACATGGAGCAAGGAGGAACTAGAACAAGGAGATGAGGTTTACTAGGGAAAAGGAGAGCAAGTTCCTCACTTTAGCTAATCTGGGGTAAAAAAAAATCACTGGAGTCATGCACGTCCTGAGCTGGCAGATCAGTTAGCAATGAAATGTGATGGAGAATGTGGCTTATCCCGGCTTGGCTGGCACGTGACAAACCATGTCTCGCCACTTTGCCTCTCCCAGAACGTTACCTCTTGCTGGTTAAGAAAACATCTTTTCTTCATGCAAATGCACAGAGACCCAGGCCCTGCAGCTCAGCAGGGGACCGTGGGGAGAGCCCAGGAACACGGCTGTGCCCTTTGCCGTGTGCGGACTGCGAGTGTAGATAAGGCCATTACGTGAAGCATTTATTTGGCCAGTGCCACAGAAAATGCCATTGGTTCTCAGGTGAATCATTTCCTTTATTAAAATTTCTCTCTTTTATTTTTGAAAGTCTGAAATGTGTGTTTTTTATGGTCCGGAAGAGAAAAAAGAATTCTTAGCGGGGAGAAAAAGATTTTCAGGCTCCTTGTCCATCTGTACAGAGACTGAATTTAAAAGGTTAACACCAGCATAGAAAATCTAATAACATGCCAAAAGTGGTCAGTAAACAATTACTTGGTAAAAACACTGCATACATAGAGGAAGGAACAGAAAATGTCAGTTCACAGGAATAATCTTAAAACTTAAAACTAAAATAGAGGTTGCTGCAGTTGCTTCTTAATGGTGTTTACATTTATGTGAGGGCAGAGTAGACTAAAATGGCCTCCTTTTTTCCCTCCCCCTGTATTTATGTGAAATACTACGGTTTCTACAAAAAAGGCCCTTGAATATTTGAGTAAGCTTTTACTTTAGTGTCTGTCAGTGTGAGTTTGCAAAAGGCACTCCTTTTATCTTGTGGAGAGATTACAGTACAAGCAGCAACAGCAAGAGCTTTGCTGTGCTATCCTGCATTAGGCTCAACTGACACTTAGGAGAAGCATGAGTAGGCACGAATACTTTAGATTACAGACCTTTGGCTGAAGCTAGAATTAAAATTTCTATCTTGTAGGGTTTTTTCAGTAAAGGCAGTACATCAACTTGACATTTGTGGGCTGAGACCATGACGTTCACTTCATAATAGCTGACAAAATTTATTTTGCCATGCTGAAATTTCTTTAAACATGAAGGAAGAAAGCATAGTTTCCAAAATCACCTAAATCCCTTTGTGAAAAGTGACTATCATGCTTGGGGAATAGAGTCACACTGAAAAACCAGCACACTCTGAAATTCTTTCTGTTGTTTTGCATATTTAACTCCTGGTTAAGAGACTTTCTAAGCATGTAATATACAACAACATTGATTTAAAATTAAAAAATAATGAAATATAAATGTGAAGAAAAGTTTACGCACTTGTTTTACCTGTATGAGTCCTGGTATGAGTCTTCAGATGATCAGATCTGGAGAACTTTCTCTGACAGGTTTTACACTGGAAGGGCTTCACGCCTAAGAGACAAAAAAAAAAATAAATCTATTTTTATATCCCAACATCTTTTGGAGGGATGGGTGAAATCATATATTTCTGAAATTTCAAAAGCCTGGATTTTTTTGTTGCACTAGTTACTGTAACTGCTCCTCCCTGCTCTGTGCCTACACATTACAGAAAGTTAGTCATTAATCAGGCTACCACCCCTTTGTAACCTCATCTTACAGTGTCTGGGTCTGAAGCATCTGAACATCATAAATAAACACCCACTTACACTGCTGGACTAAGGAGGATCTGCAAATGCTGTTAATCCTGATCCTGTGGTTTGGCACTACTGGTATTGTGTATAAGCAAATATGCCATAAGAGGAATCAAGGTGCAGAAGTACATTTTTATATGCTCCCACTGGGTTTAACTTACTTCACATTTCTACTCTACACAGGTAGATACACAGGTCTTGGGCACTGCTTCACACAGGTGTGTTCTAGCATGCAGTTGCTAAAAATCTATAATGCCAATAAGAGTAATTTTACCACCAGCTTTCAGAGGCACTTCCTACATCTCTCGATAACACTGTTTAAGTGAGATAGAACATCTTGCATAGGTAGAAATCCACCTGTGAAGAACTACTACTCACTGAAGAGCAGTGAGTAAACCAATTGCCAGACCAATCCCTGAAATACAGGAGACCCAGACGCAATTTCTTGTTGTGACTCAGAGTACTCTGAAGCCCTTTCTCATGTTCCACGCAGCGCCCTCCTAGTTCCACCCCCAGCTAGAGGGCTGGAGCCATCACCATCTCCTCTTTTGTGACTTTGAGAAGGGCAGCTGCCTTCCCTGTCAATGGAAGACCCCCAAGAACTCCTGAAACACTGAACTGGGCTGTCTCATTGGTTTCCAGAGAGAGGTGTACGTGCAAAAGAGAACATACTGAAGTTGAACTGAAGTCACAAGTAGTTTTGGTTGTCTTGGAACATTTCCCCCATTAAATGATTCACCGAGAAAGAGTCTAGCCAGGATCTGGACCCATTGATGGCTGCTGCTGCCCTTCTGCTGGATGTGAACTGCCATGCACTTTCCAGGCTATTTTTGCAACTCAACCAGACAGGTCTTTGATGGTTCTCTCCTTGCTGCTCCTAGAGTCCTTCTGTAGTTGGTAGAATTCAACAGAGGCTTCAGGCTAAGCCTGAGTGGTTTGCTGAATTAGGACCTTAAGCATTATAGCTTAAGGTGTGACTTTTCTTTCTCTACTTCTGCTTTCCACATCTAAGCACACAGCAATACCACAAGCCTTTCAGGTTATGCACATGCACCTATCAGCATTGCCACGTGATTGTTGACACACCAACAGTAATGCTTTTCAGGTTACACATTGGCAACTTTTTCTTGTAGAACTGTTTAGTTTTTAAAAATAATACATTCCCTATATCGGGCATACAGTATGGAGTAGTGTCATTAAGAAAGCTGTTTCAAGAGATGCTGTTAGGAAGTAAAAGTCACCTGTACAACCACAGTAGTGCTGAAAGGTTAATTAAACAAACCAGCCACAGCCCTCTCCTAAAACTAACTTCAGGAATTTGGCACTGTGGGTATTGTGTATGAGCAGACAACATTAGAAAATTAGATATATATTTAGAAGTATACTTTGAGGTCACAATTCACACATAAAGATGAGCTCCAATTAGTAGAGAAGTCTTGTAAACAAACCTGTGTGTCGTCTTTGGTGCCGTTTGAGTTGGTCTGAACGAGAAAATCTTCGTTCACAGTCCTTAAAATCACACTGATAAGGTTTTTCACCTGTAAAGGAAAAACAGTTTATCAGAAAATGTGACTAAGTAAGTGAATATGTCAACTAGAATCAGAAGATGAAACCTGTTGCTCTGAAAGTCTTCTCTCTCTATAGCAGTCTAGTGGTAGACCAGGCTTCATTTGCTTTAAACATAAAACTCTGTTGGAAAGGCTGGCACAATTCTACTGCATTGACACTGATACCAAATCTGCTCATTCTAAGAAAATAGTTTATTAGGTTAAAGCTACAAAAAAAATTCAGATTGCATGTTTTTTTTAATTTTTTTTTCTGCTGGAAAAGAACAGGAATCTCTTGGTTTGTATTTCTGTAAAAACCACATTAAACCCTTTCCACCTGTCTCAGTAATACATCTTTTGTACAAAGGATCAACTTCTAGTTTGCTCTAAATTGGATTTTAAGCAAAAACTAAACAAATTACATCCATGTAGATGGCACTAAATTAACTGCACTAAATTAATTAAAAGAAACTGAGCAAAATTCAACCACAGAAAAATGCACATTCTTCCCTAAAACACAAATAAGGTTTCTTCCATAAAGTACTATTAAATAGAAATTCTTATGTAGCTGCATGGATCCCACAGTCAAGGTTATGAATTATTCCAAAGCCTCATGTACATATAAACTCTTCCCCTCCTCCCATCCAGGTCAGCAGAGATTCCCAGGGTGGGTTTTCTCTGGGACGAAAAGTGAGATTCTGAATTATTTAGAAAATGAAATCCCTACAAGCTAGTCTCAAATGAACATGGTTTTCAATGCAAGGGACTTCACCAACCACATAAACATGCAAAAAGAAATGCAGCAACCAAGGAGTTTGGGGAAAAAGGGAAATACTGCCAGCACGTAGCAAAGCGCAAGGTTGGCGAAATTTGGCCAGCACAAACCAGAACAACTGCTGTTATAGGAGGAGCTGTATGATCCTTCAGATCTGATTCACATCTAAGACTAAGGTCCCTTTGCACAGCACTGAAATCCTGCCAAAGCCTCAGATACAATTACATTTATTCCTACATAAAGCCTGGTTACAGTGGCATAGCACAGAGGCCTCAGCACAAGCAGTAATGAAACATCTCCCACTGCAAAGCTGGGAGGATCCCAGGCTTTATCTGGAAGGTACACACAAGTGCAGCTGGGACCTGCTTTGTCTACTGTGGGAAGCTGAGATGTAAACCAAAGGTTCAGTAGGAAGCACCTACAGAAAAACATCAGCTGAAGTGGTTTATTATTAAATCAGTGGGTTTAATCTCTCTCTGTATAATTTTAAAAACACATCGGTTTGATAAATGTTCATTGCAAATGTCTACATTTCTGATTCTACTATGATGAGGAAATGTATTCTGGTTTCATTGGTATTCCAAGTTTTGTTTAAAGCAGAGGCCTTCCAATCCAGGTGACAAGGAATAAGCAGCATATTAAGGAGAGCATTCCAAATTCATACCGCTATAGCTGAAATCAAAACAAGCTAACTTCCTGTGACAGTCACCCAAAGGAGTTTTACTGATTCTCAGACCTAGGTGTGGACAATTTCCATGTCTGCTGTGCTTAATTTATTAGCATGAGAGATTAAAGTTGCCACAGGTGTTTGAAATAGTTCCATACACTTTGACCGCAAGGACTCCCTGGGGGGGGGCCTGCTTTTCAGAAACCACTTACTTCCAAGGAATTCAGCCCTTTGGCAGATTTAAGAGGGGGAATGTCAGCAGAGCAGAATGCAGTGACAGGATGATTGTCTGCTAATTGCAATATAAACGCAAAAGATGGTTAAGGAAGTATTTGAATAAAACAGCATAGTGGGTCTGATGGCACACACATGAAAGTATTTCTTTAAATACTTTGAAAAACAGTCTTGATTAAATTAAAGACAAATTTAACAAAATGTTTACATAGGGATGTGATGACAGTGCGTGGAAAACAAAAAGCAAATAAACGAAAAGAGGCACAACATTTGGACAGAAATCCTAATTTCCCTTTCCTTCTACATCTTCCATGTCAGCTAGTGCCAAGCAAAATGCCTGCCAAAGCTGTCATATGCCTGTAGCTCCCTCAAGTTTCATCAGAACAGGACAACAGAAATGTCCCAGATTAGAGAAAGCCTGTTAGTACCTCATTAAATTCCTATACCGAGAGAGGTTAGAGCACTGTTTAGTTTCCCCAGGACTATTAAAGCCTCTTCAGTAAAAGACTCGAGTTTCTTTACTTGTGAAAATATCCCATAATGCTGTCACATTCTCATGTGACCACATACAATTTCAAAATAAAACAGGAGATGCAGATGAAGCTTCACCAGCCCTTCCCTCTGGGACTTGAAGGCTTCTGTGATTACTTACATTACTGAAAGAGGGCACACAAAAGAAAGGCCAAACTTGGTGCATAATGAAATAGCAAAGATGAGAGAGGATAGAGGGAACAGCAGATCTTTAACATTTAGCAAAATACTTCCAAAAAAATAAAGCTCAACCATTGCAGAACAAGTGCGAATCGACCTTTGCACATATTGCAATAAATGCTTCTAATAAAATAAACTTATTTGCTCAAAAATAGATAACCTGAACGAGGGGAAGGGTCCACATTTTCTCCAGTGTAAATGCATGGGAAAACAGAAAATCCTACTGTTGTAGCAGTTGCACAAAATATTCATAGTCATTGCTTTTAATTAGGGAGTTCTGCAAGAGCAAAAGCCCATCACTAACAAGAAAACATGAGGAGTGGAGGCTGACTTTGAAACCAGAGACTGACTGCAAGTGTGAATGAGAATCTGATGGTTGGTCTATTCTTCCTTCACCAGTTTAAGCCCATTTTCTTAAATAAGTATACCCACCTAATCAAACAAGCACAGCCTCATGATCACAACTTTGCCTCGGTAATACAACATTTTTTTATTCAGTATAATTTGCTTTAGCAAACTTAAATAAAATGTATGTTTATTTATTTAGTAGGAAGCCTCTACCGATAACATTTTCTGTCATCTTCACACCATAGTTCAGCTGTGACATGTCATTACTGTGCTGAAACTATCTTGCATTTTAAATTCAAAAGTACTCCTATTTTACTCTGTAGAAATGACAGCCTAAAAGCAGTCCATGCTGGGTGAGGCCAAAGGCCCATCTACTTACATCTCCCAGAGCTTCAGAAATTCACCACCAAGACCTGAGTCCCCTACCACATAAAGGACAACCTTCCTGATCTACAGATTCTCATACTTCACTGTAGAAGCTCATACCTGCAGTTGAGCATATTTAGGCAAAAGAATAACCCTGGCAGAGTATATTTCCTCTGCAAACATGCTTAGCTCTGTGTTAGAAGAAATCTAGTTTTTCCAGTGAGTGGCACTAAAACCAAAGGGTCTCTGGCAAGAATGCTGATGTTTCCACCACAAGTGAAATTTATGGAGGTCTAGACATCAATTTGTTTCTGAAAGGAAGTGTCTGAAGTCTGCCACAGAATGACAACTCACATTATTTGCTGTACTGTTGAAAAGTTAGATGTATTTTTTGCATTTCCTTTCAGGGGCCTATCTGCTGCAGCAAAATAGAGCGAGATAAGAAAAAAGCTTTTTTGGCTGTACATGTTTCAATAAAGGCATTGTTGAGAATGAATAAGCAGTCTTGGAGGGTACAAAATGTTAACATATTTTCAAATGAGGCTGTTTGAAACTTTGGGGAAAACTGATTATAGAATTCAACTTTGTGTTTCAGGGCCTTGTTTGGTTTTGCAGTGATGCAACTGGTGAAGAATGGAAGATCTGACGAGCCAGTCTTTGTATGTATCTATTACAGAAAAAAAAAAAAAAAAAAAAGGTAACCTAGAGCAAACATTATTCTGCAAAGATAATATCTGTTGGTTTAATATTAGATATATGTAACAGCTTGTTTTCAAATCACGTGTTCATAATTTTAAAACCTGACCTACCACTACACTGAGATACTTTAAGGTGGAAGAGCTCCAAACCCATGAGTGAATCCAGGACCACCTTACAGGAGGAGCAGTAAAATTTTATATTGGCTAAGGAGAGGTATACCAAACACAACCCAATTATCCTCCACTTCAGCTGACTTTTGACAGCTCCCCTGATTTTAGATTGGCTCTCCAGGATTCTTCTCCATCGAAACAATGGAACAGAAGAGGAAGAGACACATCCTTTTGTTTATTAAGAATATTAGGTGTTATGGTTGCCAACTGCTTTCTGCCTAACAGGCTAATTCCACCAAGCCCAATTTCTTTACCTAGTAGAGAACTCTAGAACTGGGGTTTGGAGTTCATTGGGTTACAAACAGAAAGATGATCAGAGAGCCCAAGAGACACCCATATAATTACCAACATAAACCAACAGCCTCACTGGAGTCATACTGGCCTCTTAAGGCAGCCCCTGCCATACAGAAACAGCAGAGGGAGAAAAGAAAGAAGGTGCAGAGAAGTGTGAACTGTATCTACCATAACTGGTATCAACAAGACACATTCTCCATAGTGATGACTGATCTGCCCTCGGACAAAACTGGTTTACAAATTTTGCTTTTCAAACCAGGGTTAGAAAAAGACGTGGAGTTACAAAGGAGACTGGAAATGGATTTGCATCACAACAGTCAGTTCAACTGCCCTGAAGAACATGGGACTGGAAATGACCATTATGGCCACTAAGTCCAGACCATCCACACACCAAGCAGCCAAGAAAATATGTTAACTCAGAAATGTTCGCAGACTACCCACTCCAGATGCTCCCTTACAGCATAGTTCACCAAGCACTCCCAAAACTAGGACTAAGAACACAGCAAGAGACAGGAAATGCAGGGCATCATAATCTAAGCCTCTACAGCAGCTGGGAATTTGGCAAGTAAAATTTCCAGATCATAATAATAGGAAATGTCTAGTGCCCATACAACAGGTTGAGGACAAAATCCTGCCAGCTGATAAAGGGAAGAGCTCCCTTATAATCCTAAATCTGAATGCATCAGCCAGGCAAGTAACTCAAGCAATTTTCACACCAGCAGTGCATCATCCCTTGCTTCCTCTGTTTAGCTGCAATCAACCCTAAAATCTTGCATAGCAATGTTTGTATCAGCAAATACAAGCTTTGCAAAACAAGTCGGCCTCTTACGGAAAGTAACTTGAAAAGATTTGAGAAATAAATAAGTTTTACTGTCAACATATCAAAATGCTTGGACAGAAAGGTCTGGGCCCCACCTGTACAGAAAAGACATTTGAAGGGAAAAAACTGTCTTTCCTCTAACCTGTTCCACTACAGCATAAACCAAGTGTGGGGCATGTATGACCTCAAAGACAATGGGAGAAGCCTCTCTAGGGGTGTTAGACAGCCATAGGCATATCCCCAATGTCTTTTGGGGCTTTTGTGACTCTACAAGCCTAGATTGTATGTGGTATAATTCTGAAAACCTTCTACAGCTAAGGAAAAAAAATAAAAATATATAAGTTGAAGTCCTTGTGATTCATCCAGAAATAACATTGTGAAAGCCAAGCAACTAAATGGAATAAAATACAGGACCAGAACAACTAATGACTGTTAAAATACAGAGTAAATCAATTGAGGAATGAAAGAAAAAGTGATTAGGATTAAAATTCAGAGCTGGTTAGGCATACAGCAGAAACACTGAATGCAAAAGATCTCTAAATTTTCTTGTTTCCAATTTATTTACAGAAAATAGAATAGCATTTCTGCAGACCTCTGTCTCTAAAGATGAAATCCCACTTACAATCTAAATTATCTTGAATGTTTAATCTGAGCAATGCTGAAGATGGCTATCGGAATATTTTGACACTTGCCCATTCAGAAATTAGAAGTGCTTTGTGTTCATTTCTCACCTGTAAGTATTTTATGCAATTAACTAACCACATGATCTCCAAAAGCAAAAGTTTGCAACTATCTTTTATGAAATATTTGACAATCTCTTAGGTCACTGCAGCATGGACTGCCCTTCTGTTCTCTCTTTCATCCCTTAGACTTTCTGGCGTATCAATGGCTAACAGAACATCTGAATTCACAGATTTTATCCACAGATTTCTAGATTAGCACAGAAAGAACTGTATAAATAAAAATATGAGAGGCAATCCAAAAAAATTCGTAAGGATCATATCTAAAGACATATCACAATTTTACATGTCCAACAGTATAAATCTTCCAAAAGGGGAAATAACTCTGCTCTCTGGCAAGGTGCAGAAGAGCATTTGATTTCCACATTTTGAGCTGTAATTTTTATTGCCCAAACTCAGAGAGAATCCAGACCTTAGCCTACAAAGGAATGGTTTCAGGCTCAGTTTTTCATGGAAAGATCCCATAGCCAGGAAGCTATTTGCCAATCCCTGCCTCCACCCCCCCAACCAGAAAAGGCTTACCCAGGAGAACAAGAGGATGTTAAATGTCTAGATTCCTCTTGCAGAAGAAGCTTCTTAATAGTCAACATTAAATAAGATTTGGGGCAAGATTCAATGTTCCCAAATGAGGAGGAAAAGAAGGAAAAAAATCAAAGGGGAAAACAACTCATAGCCCTAAATGATGCCCTGTAACAGTAAGGGAGGGAGGGAGGTGAGCCACTTGCTGTCAGTGGTGCTCTGTGTTTTTCTTCACTAGATTCAGAGGCTCTTCTGCATCCAAAAGAGGGATTGCCCAGAGGACAGAGGACATAGGCATTCCTCTGACAGATTCTCACGGTTCCCTGACCTGGCAGTTCACTTCTTGCCCCCTATGCTATTTTAAAACCCCCCTGCCCACCTTGCTGTGCAGTGCTGCCCCGTGATTTCTACCCACCAGTGTGCTTTCTGCTGTGCATCTGCAAGTGGGACAACTTGAAGTATCTCTTGTTACAGCCCGGGTAGGCACACATGAAGGGACGCTTCTCATTCGTCTCACTCGCCGATCGGACAATGGTTGGAGCGACTCCTGGCACCCGCCGGACATCCTGCAGTGACAGAGACCTGCTAATGCAACCTGTGTGTTTTCCAGCTCCTACTTAGCATATTCAAAGACAAACAATCAGAGGCACTTCGCCAGGACAAAGAGATACTTACACAGATCACACTGTAAACAGGCAGTTTTATTTGATTCTACATTAACGATCTGCAACCTTATCATACCTTAATCTGTTCTCTGCAGAGTGTCACAGTTATTCGAAGGTGAAATACAGTGAACTCAGTGAATTCTCTCACCAATATTTATGTGTAATGGCTCACACTGTGACCTCCTGTATAGCCACACAATCCCGGCAGAACTCTTACTGGCATAGGAAATAGTTTTAAGCTTATACCAGATAAAAGCATGAGCCAGAGTATTACTATCCTCTTTATTTTAAATGCTCATATGAAGTTAAAGGACAAGGAAAGTAATGTCTTGGATTAATACAACCTGATTATAAACAAAACAAAAACAACTGTCTAGGTGGAGCTGATGAATAGTTCGGCCTTAATGCATTTTGGCCACTGTCACAATGTTCCATCAAAGATGATCTCCTCCTTCTGGGACAATTAACTTCCTTAAACAATGTCAGCCACTTACTTTTATTCACTCAACAAAAGCTGGCTCAGGAACCTGTTTCTGAGAGCTTGACATGGAATAATGACTTGCTAAACTATACAGAAAAGGAGAAAAGATGCTATCTAAAAACACTGATGTACGTTGACAACACAGAGCAAGAAGAGACAGATATTCTGTAATGACTTTGCCATCAGTTTTAAGAAGGTATATCTTTTACAGTGGTATTTATTAGTGATATGACTGTCTCAGAAAGGAGGAAATTAACTCCTGTGAATGGTAAATTCCTTCCAAATACTCACTAATTACTTAGTCATTAGGACACGATCACATATTCTAATTTGTTTTAAGGAAATACGCTTAAATTAGTAAAGTTTCAGAGATACATAAAAGCAAAATGTCATCTAACAGTTTCACACATATACAGTTATCAGACACAGTCCACTGCAACCACAGAAGCTCCACAGGGTCAGAGTGATTGGAGCCAGAAGCTGGAAAGGGGATATAGTATGTTTGGGACCATCCTGAGAAGGATGGAAGGAATATTGCCATGCAGACATAACTTTAGAAGAAGAAATGAGGAATTTTAAATGACTGTGTCAGAAAGAAATCTTAAGTTATAGTTCAATGGCTTCGGTGAAGCCAGGACATTTACATGAAGCATTTCTTGGTAACCCAGGGAAACCACAAATCAAGGATGGATTTATAAATACCAGTGAAACAGTAAATTAACGCTATAAACAGGCAGCAGTTTTACTTTCCAAAGGAGAATGCCCTACTGTACTCACTTGTATGCCTCTGAAAACTCCATGGGTGTGTATTCTGTATTGGGCCCCACAGCTGTATAACATGGGAGCACTGTGGTTCTCATTTTCATATCCTGCTGTATGGCTGCAAATAAAGAGGGGAATAATGGAAAAATTAAATATTTTTCAGTACCCAGCTCCAGGTGAGAGGTTTCATTTCTTATGTCAGTGATAACATATGCAGAGTTCCCTTTTATAGCCATAATATCCAAGTTCAAATTCAATTCACCAAAGGAAACCCGCTCTGCCTTCAGATGGATCTGCTCCCACTGGCACAATGCACTGACTCCATACATACATCTATTAGTATCCATCAAGATAGTCCAGAAAAAAAGAAAAAAGAAAAAAGAAAAGAAATTGTCATGATTTAAACTCTGATGTATTTCCACAAAGATTTTAGGTAAGAGGGAAAAATTCACATAGCAGCACAACAGTGTCATGTGCACATGTACACATTATTTATCAGTTAAATGTGGGGCTGGCTATTGCTAATATCTTTTGGAATGAGCAAAATGCCTCAAGTTTCACATTAAGTGCAGTGGATTTTTGTCAGCACCTCATGACTCAGATATTACCAGATACTACCAAGAAAGTGATGACATTTATAAGAATAGCAGTCATGTACTCATAAACAGAGATTACAAATCAGTGTCTAAACTATTTATTCCACATATCAGCTTGCAGGATGCACTACAAATTAACCCTTTATAAAAATAAAATAAAATAAATTAAAAAAAAATAAAAAAAAAACAGTCTATCCCTACTAGGTACAAATTTTCAAGATTTCTCACGCAACACACTAATTTTCAAAATTTGCAACTTTTGCTATGTTTCGTGTGTGTCACAGCCATATGTTTCATCTAATTCTGTTCTTCAAAATCCTGTGTGCTCCTGTCCAGAATGCTGGAACATCGCTGTGTTTCCTGTTTGCAGCCTTCTTAATGTCAAAATTCTGTAAATACATCTAGGTTTTATGTTTGAATGAGTATGTTACATTAATGTGTACATTATCACATGTAGATATATATATTGGCAGTGGTAAGTGTACATGTTTTACACAACACTAGAAATTAGAAAGTGCAGAACAAAGCCCAAGGGCACACATCTAGGGACAAAGATGGATATGTAGGATGTTATCCCAGTCTTTGCCAAATGCTTGCAACAGCAATTTGAAGGGGTCCCTGAGGCCCAGACTCTCATTTCACTGGTCCTTCCTTTCTCTTCGCTCAAAGTTCATGTGCAGAGAGTAGAATTACAAGGAATTTTTAAACCTCTTAAGTGATTTGCAGAACAGGCAGTGGGACTGGAACATGGGACACGTCTAAAGGGTCTGTGAACCTCGGTAAGGAGGAGGGGAGCAGTGTTTGTGAGCAGCTCTGGCTGCAGTGGGTGGGTTGTGCTCCTCCTCACTCAGCCCCACAGCGACTCGCTGGCTGCCACTTGGCAAGTGGGTTCCCTGGGGTCTATTCCTTTGCTGCTTTACACCACCAGCTTCAAATCCTGGCTCCACCTGACTATTCAAATCAAAGCCTACACCTTTTGGGAGGGTATGCTCTGTTTATTTCAATTTTAAGCAGTAAGCAGGTGACCATAATGAAATAAGTTATAGAGGGATGGCAAGAAAGTATCTCTGATCTGTAGTAATGTCTGTAATAATAGATAAAGAAGATGTCATTATCTGATTTAAATGGATTAAACTCTTCTGTAGATATGCACCATGTCCAAATAAATAGGGTCTCCTCTCTCCCTAGGGCCCAGATGTGGCCTTTTGCATCCTAATAAAAGTCACAAATTACCATTTGCTGTTATCATTTGCTGTTACCATTTGATCAGTTCAAGTTCCCCCCCCAGCATCAATTTTTCCTCTCTATTTAAAGGCAGCAAGTCTGTACATGTTAAAAAGAAAAAGGGGAGGAGGAAGGATGTTGAAAACACCCAACATGTGGTGATACACCTGTTGATCACAAATTACACAGTGCATTTTAAAACAGAAATGAAATGAGAACTACCATCGACAGGGAGGAAGTTCTGCAGCAGAAGCTATTGCTGATCTGTAACACAGCAGTAATCAAGGGTAAATATGAACTTCAGCATTGGTCACCCTGAGTAACCATGTACCCTCCCATTCCCACCTGTCCTAACAACCTTAAACACTACAATAAACAACAGACACAAAGTCAGATAAGAGGAATTCCCAGGAGAAGCAGGAATATGCAGTAAAAGCTCACACCATAAAACACAGCCCCGCTTTCCCTCCAAATTCTCATGGTTTTCATCTTTCAGTGATAACCTCTCTTGTAAAGACCAGTCAGTTCTGAAATAATTCCTCCCAGGAATAAGAAACAGAACAAAGACCCTGACTCTGCCCTAAGGAATGGCTCTATGAAGGAGAGGTATCCTCCAGATGATCTCTATCTCAATTTTTATTGCACATTTGGGAAGACTTCCTCAACATTCAGCCTCTTACATATTTCCTCACGTTATTTCTAGTTATACTTCATTGAAACTGTACATACAACTGCAAAGCTGTGAAGATTAAAACCTGTTTTCTGAGCCTCTAGACTCATAATATACTAAGTCCTTAACCAGCTCCCTAGGAGAAACACTTTAATAATCAGGAGCCCTAATTCTCATTTAATATTGGGCACATTTCCATCAGCTTTGGCTGGTACTCAGCGTGGCCATATGGATGATGACAGCAAAATGGATCATGAGAGATTTCTTGGTTAAAATACTGTTTATTCATTATGAAGCACTAAGGAATAATTTGACCTTTGGGGAGATAGGAATTAACAGGTGGATATTCTTTCCAGCCAGTGGGAAACTGGAACACTGAAGGAGGAGTTCTCACAAACCATGCCTACAACACTGCTCCCTTGAACCTCAGCCTTCACTCTGCATCAGAAGTAAACTCATTGTGAAAGATAATTCTTCTTCTCCCTGCCTCTTTACTCCATGCATCCATGATGTATGCCCCAAAATGTGCACCACAGTTGGCACAGTTGGCTTGTTTCATATGGCTGCAACTTATATACTATAATAAAAGCAGGGATAGAAGAACCGATATAAATCTAAATACATTATTAAACTCAAACACCCGCTTGATTGCACGCAAGAGACAATGAGCAGATGCAGTGCCACAAACATGAGCAATACAAGTAACTGATGAATTTATATCTGCAGTACATTAACTAAATGGAAATCTCCAGAGGGTAGGACATTTCTTAACTTTCACCTTTTCTGGTTGGACACTCTGTGTTTAACTAGGCAAAGAGACAACGCCTTAAACACTTAGGGCACCAAATCTATACATATAATAATGAATAATTATCCTGATAGACTCCCAGGATTAGATGACAGTCTAGATCTCCACCAAAGCACATGCTCTCTCTCAGCAGGACAGGCTGCTCAGACAACACCACAGCAGGCCTGGAGAACTGCCAGCGGAGCCACTCGCTGCCCTGCTGCAAGTGCACTCTGAGAGCACAGCCAGAGCTCCTACACTGTGCCTTGCCCTGCTCCAAGGGCTGAGCAGCCCCCAGGAGAAGTCAGCTAAAGCCAGGGGCATGATCAGGGAGCAAACAGTTGAATTAACCAAAAAAATGAAAAAAAAAAAAAAAAAAAGAAAAATAGAAAAATCCCCAGTAAGGCCCAGAGTTACAGTCAGGAGAGACACTACACTGATCCCTCCACAGGTCCTAAGTGGACTCAAAACTAAGCAAGGCCAGATGCAGCCAAACTGGCCTGCCAGGATCCAACACAAATTTTTGTTTGAGCAAGGACTGGAGGATTTGGCCTCACTGTCCAGTTCTGCCTTTGCTTGTAAATATACAGCTCCCTTTAACTTCAATGGGAACTGCACAAGGGCAGAACTGGACTATAAATATTTAGAGTTCGGGTTAGTCAGTGAAAAAAGGACTCGGTGTATTTTATTCTCTGGATCTAGACAGCCAGAAACAGACCTGGAAACACAGCCATAAAATGTAATTCTAGATAACTGGGAAACAAAGGCTGATACTTACACAACACGGAATGCTAAGGAAAGGCTCTGTTTTGTAGAGCATTTAAAGGGCTTGCATTTACCATTAGCCCAGCAAATCCTTAACACTCGGAGAGTAGCTCTTTTAAAATGATTAATCTCCAAGTTGTACAGATTGTACAAAGATTAATAAAAATGAAGGTTTTACAGATGAGAATGTGTGATGAAAAACAGAGCAGCTTTAGAGAGTTGTATCAATTTGAGTGGTTATAAAAAAAACCTCATAAAAGATGACATTCTAATCTGAATATTTTAAAAAATAATCAAGCTGCAATTTCTCTCTCACACCATTTTTACTTTGTTAGACTGAAATTGCCTGTCTAATGTATAAAGCAGTTACAACTTAATCTGAAGAGTTAAGCTTTTTATTATTATTTCATAAACCAAAAAAGGGAAGCTTTAGGGCACACTGAGGAGAGTTAGAAAATTTCAGATGAAATGTGAATACACATTGATTCATGAGATTCAGACTTGGAAGAATAAAAAAAAGCCAGAAAGCAAGATTACATAAAACAGGCACCACATTAAGCCTCAATTTAATTGTGTTTCAGTGCAGGAACAGGAATTTTAGGGTTTAGAAACAGAGCCAAAAATGAGGCAAAGTGAGGGTGTGGGCTAGTGCCGTTGATAACAGAACATAAAGGAAGAGAAGTAGAGCTAATTCCCTCTGCTAAAATATTTACCATCCTAGCACCCTGGGAAAAATAAGTATGAAGACAGCAAAAAGATTCTGATTAGTTATATAGAAGATTCTGTTTCTGCCTGGTTTTTGTCTAACACTATTACAGAGGGTGGAGTATAAAGCTGCATTTTTATCTGTACTTTCCAAGGCAAAGGAATATTAAAAAACACGATTTCACAGATAAGAGCTCTTCTGCCATCTTCAGTGAGAGAACTAGCTGGCTGACGAAAGGAAGGATCTGGATTTTCAGGGGATCTTAGTATTTCTGACTTCAGTAGTCTCTCTTTGGTTTGACCTGAGTGGAATCAGGATTTTACCCAACACTTACTTTCAAAATGAGAGCCTCAGCTATAAGTGGGAAAGGATCAATTCAGTATTACAGTAGGTTATTGTCCATTTCCAGTTCATCTTGACTGCAGAACTGAACCTAAGCAGGAAGTTTTCCACCTCAAAATTTTACTAATAATACCACCAAAGCTAAACATAAAAGCTTTTGCAATTCACTCCTAAACAAAACAAGTTTTCACTGTCTTGTTTTAGATGCAGTTTAAAAGTGTTCTGCAGAGAGCACACCTAGTATGTCTTCCAGTGAGTGTGAGAAAACAGCAATAAATATCAATTTCCATGGAACATGCTGAGTATTTAACACCCAAGCAAAACTAAAAGGGGAAAACCAACATTTTGTCTGGTTATGCACTCAATTTCAGATGACTGTGGGAAATATGGATCAAAACTTCTTGCTCGAGCAGCTGAAGAGACAATTTTGTCAAGTATTGCTGTTGGGAACGTAGCTACACTTCTTGTCAACCATGCCATATCATTTCCTGCTTGTTATCAGTTATTTTCATGTCACTTTTATGCATAACTCACCAAAATATCAAGAGGAGGTTTATAGTCATGAGGTCTATCTACTCTTACAACTACTACACAATGAAGCAGTGTTTTTCATATTGGATAAACAAAAAAAACCCCATGAAAATATTAAGAACAGACACAAGTTGAAAAGGTGCCCACTAATGTGGGACATGCATTTTGAGATGTCTAGGACCTGAGTTCTCAGGTCAGCAAAGGACCCACTGGCTTTCCTGCAACAGTATAAATCTAATCTCAGCAGCTCCAAACAAAATACCACAAAATTAGGAACAAATCATCAGCAAACAGCCTGAGGAGATAAAATCCAGTCTCCCAGGGGTGTTTATTGCCTTAGCAATGAAGCTTTCCTTTTGGATTCTTGAAGCTGCCAGCTCACAGACAACAAGCCCACCTTCCCTCTTGTCTACCCAAAGTTCAGAAGGTGACAGAGAGGTCCCAGGACAAACAAGCAACACAATCAACACACCAGTTCACAAGGCACTGTTCTTCCCTCACCTGAGTTATAAGAACAACCTGAGCTCAATCAGAGCTCAATCGAGTTGGCATCCAGAACCTAAACGAAAATCTAAAACACAGATTCAAGTCAGTTGGACTCTGTGGTAGAAGCAGTGGGTTGTTTTCTTCTCCAGGGACAGCTCCTCGAAGAGAGAAGCTCATCTTGGGCCATCAGACATCCTTTTGGTTTGCCAGCAAGTAGAAACATCTAAAACTCGTGGCTGCAGCCTTTTCTATGTGCTTCCCCATTTACACCTCTCTCCCCTTCCCCTGCCAGTCCGTCACGTTGCTGTATTCTGCCAGAAGACAACATCTCACTTCACCTTAGATGTCTCTCTTCACCACTTAGCAATGGCTGGTCAGGGACTCTATTCCATGCCTTTTACTGCTCACCTCTGCTTGTCTCAGGCCATGCCTTCCACAGATTCCTAATGCTTACAGCTACCGAAAGCACTCAAAGACTAAACTCCACTGACACAAAAGAACTTCTTGCTGTCAGTTCCTCACACACAGAGAGGACTGTTCCTAAGCTTGCAACTCAACAGGAATGGTTTTCACAATGACTGAAAAGGACACAGTTTTGGACACCTGGCAGTGCTCCTTCCTCAAATTCGAACTTTTAATCTGGGGTGAGGAGATTCTGGAGCTCATCACTCAAATATTGGCAAGAACGTAAAGAGCTAAAACTAGAATGCTCTCAGACAAACTGCCAGGTAAATTCAGCATAGAAACTGCTAACTAACACTGCCTGAAATGCATGGCAACAGCTCCATTTCAGTGTGTTAAACTTGTGCTGAACATGAACCCAGAAAGCAAGCTACTGACCTGGGCTGCTGTCAAGTATAAAGTGTATGACCTGTAAGTTTTATATAATTGCAGAGTTCTCTAACTGTTTGCAGAACTCACTGGCAACGTCTTCTTCCTTCTTATAATGTGCCTTATTGAAGCCAGGAAGAACTGCTGGGGAGAACTGAAGGCGAGGAGCTAAATAGGGACTGTCATCGTTGGACAGAATCTAGAAGCTCCATATTTCAACAGAAAGATTGATTCCAAAATTCTTAAATTACAACTACAAGGTTGAGAAAAGCATCTGAAATACTAAACGCCTGGAAATCACTTATGAACAGTTCATATATTTTGAAGATGTAAATCTGGGGAAGAATACCTTATGTTCATGGCAACTGAGATTGGAGGTACTGTGTATTGTAACTCTCAGCCAGAAAAGACAGATAACTATTTTGGCTCATATTACCAGTGATGAGGCTATGTCTAGCACTGATTTTCCACAGATTCTACAATCTTGGCCTATACCAAAACTTTCAGCTTTGTTTTACCATAGATCATTCATCTTGATTTTTTCCCCCCCTTTTCATGCATCCTAGGTCACATACTTTACACTGCTAACAGTCTGACTCCTGGACAAGTAAGAAGCCATTTATTTTGTTCAGTACTCCTTTAATATTTCTATTGTGACTTTTTTTTTTCACTGAGTTCCCCAAAGAATAACCTCTTCCTTGCTTTAATAACTTGGACCTCGGTCAAGGTTGATGTGTTTCTCCATTTTGCAGGATATTTTCTTCAGAAGAGACAAAACAGTGTCTAATACTGAAATGACTGATCTTTAAAGGGTACAGTTTAAAGAGGAAATAAAAAACACTTATGTGGGAAAAAAAAGTAGGAAATAACCTTTAAAAGAGGGGATCAGCAGCAAAGACAGTGAACTGTACACAACTGCAGGATTTTTGGATCTTCTCTAACCATAAGAGAGCTCCATGACAGACCTCTTCAGGCTCAATTCTTTCCTTCACTTCAATACAGATAGTTTACTATGTTACTATCTTCTCCCTCTAACCTTCAAACCACCATTTGTGAATGAGCTAGAAGTAGATCCATAACATTTTATTCCTTCATTACACGACAGCACTGTACACAAAGCCCACCTTGAACAAGAATTTTGACATTTATGGACAACTGCATGAAAGCACAGATCTATGCATGAAAGCACAGAGCTATGCAAGGCTTTCCTCGGCCTCTCCTGTTGTTCACTTGGGGCAACACAAGCACAGACACTGAGACCATCTCAAACCTGGCAATACCCGCCTTCAGCGGGGGGAGTTTTCACAGCCAATTATCTACTCAGAGCAGCGAATTATCTACTCCGTGGCTTTCTCTTGGCTAAGATGGAAAGGTGGCTCTGTCACTCATGGTCGCGATCGCAGACGAAACGAGGTGAGGACACGGCTGTGCATCAGCCTCGCGGGTCTCGGTCCTGCCCCACCCGCCGGAGGATCCCCAACCCCGGCAGGGCTGACGGAGGCACCGGGCACAGGCACCGGAGCCTGACCCCCCTCCGTGGGCCGCCACCCCGGCGGGGCCCCGCGGCGCCTCGGAGCCTTCCTGCCCCGCCCAGGCGCAGGAAGCCCCGGCGGGGGGAGGCGGGCCGGAAGCCTCTTCCCGGCAGGTGGGAGGGCGGACAATGGCCGGGAGGAAGGAAGCCGGGAGGCGGCCGGGCCGGGACACAGGACGCAGGGCCTGGCGAAGGCAGGGAAAGGGAAGAGGGATGGTAGGAAGGGGGCGACAGCTCAAGGAGGAGAGCGCGAAGGGGCCGCGGCTGCTCCTCTGGGACGGGCCCAGGGACTGGGAACGGGCACAGCCCATCCCTGCCTTGCCCTGCCCGGGGACCCCAGCCCGACCCCGGCGGGACAGGGCGGCTCCGGCGCTTCGGCCCTGAAACATCCAGGGCTGGGCTCCATGGGCGCGGCACCCCAGCCCTCAGCCCAGGCTATTGCAGGGATTATCAAAATCCCGGCAAACTGCAGCCAGATGATGAGCCATTCTCAGGACCGGACAGTATTCTGTTCGTGCAAGTCATGGGATTCAAGACGTAAAATACAAGATTAAGTTAGCTCAGTAACACAGCTACACTAGGGCAACAGGTTAGAAGGGAACAAAGCTCCTTACCCCTTCAGTGTGGATCCCAAGTTCATTTGATTCCATGTCATGCATTCAAGCTGCGAGGTCATTTGGTATAAATTGTCACTGTTGAGAAAACATGTAGAATTAGAACTAAAGTTACAGATACCAAATAAAAAACAATACCTCAAGATATCAACAATTTCTTTGTTATTGGTTTTAACTATTACTATCTAATAGCAGAAAGTAAATTTATATAATCCCTCTATCTACGCATTATGAATTAAAAAAAATAATAAAAGGAAATAGAAGAAAATAAAGGCTGTGGATCGAAAAGTCCCTTTGAATCTGCAAGCCTGACGATTTTTAAACAGCTGGAAATGGAGACATAAAACTTCTTCCTTACAGAAAAATTATATCCGATATTGACACACATAATATCCGATATTGAAATGAGTAAAACGAATATAGGCAGCCGGGTGGACTAACGCAGCGGATTATTTGTTTTAAAAAGTCAAATCTGTTAACTATTTTAACCAGGAGTGTGAGGGACCACGTGGGTAATGGAGTGAAACAGCTATCGTGACTCATGATGGATGTTACTACATAGAGGGGCTTGACAAGCGGGAGAAAAATGGAGTGGCTGGGCGATAAACGAAGCTCGCCGCTGGAACAGGCTCTTTCCCCGCCGGTACACCACCGAAGGCAGCCCGGCGCGCGGGCGGGCAAAGGACGCGGGCAGCGCGGCCGCGGTGCGGGACGGCGGGAGGCGGCCGCGGAGCCCCGGGAGTGCCCGAGTGCTCGCCCGGCCCGGCAAAATCTCCAGCGGGCCGAGGAGGTGCCGCCTCCCGGGCAGCGGCTCCCCCCGGGCCGCCTGCGGGGCTCCCCTCTCCGGGGTCTCCCCGCCAGCGCAGCTCCCCGGCGAGCGGCGGGGGGACGAGGCGGGAGCCCCCAGCCCTTCAGCCGGGAGATGTGATTGATGCCGGGGAACAGCCGCGCACAATAAACGCAAGTCTCCCCGTTGATTAATCACACCTAAAATCGCTGGACTTAGGCGGTGAATTTATCTCATTGTTATTAGAAGAGGGTATTTTTTTCTTCTTCTTTTTTTTTTTTTTTTTTTTTTTTTTTACTTCGTGGCAGGTAGAAGAGACCTAAAAAAGCCAGATTCCAGTGGGAAGCTTTTGCATATAAAAACAAATTAGGTGACTTCAATCTCGAAGTATGCGTAATATCATTTGTCAGTATCACTGGACACTATTATTCATTAGTATGTCTGAAGTGCTATTATGCTACTACAATGTCCTGCATATCAGCTCAGGAATTGTTAAACTCTCCTGCAGTTTCCCCATTTGCAATAGCAGTCCGTGCTGGTCTGTGCCAACTACGTTTTGCAATTCCACGAATTCTTCCTGTAATGCTGCTGTAATTAATTCCTCCAGGACCCTGATTTTTATTAGAAGTGCCCGCCCGATGCATTTACAGCAGGAGATTTCCCTTTAACTTTCTTTCGCTTGACAGTTCATTTATAAGAGCCTCCCCCACAATATCCACTTTTTTCCCCTCCTTTGCTTTTTCATAAAGCAATACACTTATTCATCTTGTCACAGCTCGCAGCCACTGTATTCCATGCCGCCTTTGGGTGACAGTGTCCAAAACAAACCAGCGCAGTGCCCGCGGTCAGGGGACACCGCAGCCCCCCTGGCCAAAATCCCTCCCGACCCCCCCCGCGGTACGGCCGCGCTTCGCTCCTGGCTGTGCAGCCGCAGCTGAACGGCGGAGCCCGAGCTGCCTTCAGCCTCCGAAGGGAGCCCGGAGCGGCTCCCGGGAAAGCTGGGCGTCGTGGGAAGCACTGGGAGATACAGGGCGAGCGGAACTCCGCTACTCGGGCTAAACCCCGCTCTACCACAACCGGTGCCTCCGGAACGGGACGGCCGCAGGAGAGACCCGCAGCCTTCGCACCCCTCGTCCTCCCTGTGCGGTGGGGCAGGAGCCGGGGATGAGTGAGGGGGGAGCAGGTGCCCGGGCGCGGACCCGGAACAGAAAGAGAAGTTTGACTTGAGGCCCCGAGAGCGGATTCCCGCGGGATACGCTGCCGACTCGCGGGTGTGGAATACCCCGGGACAGGGGTGCCGGCGGAGGGGTACCCGCACCCCCCTCACAGGGGCTGCAGAGGCGGTCTGTGCGATCTCTGCTGCTGGCAGTCGTAAAGGGGAGAAACCCTTTTTCTATGCCGAGCCGCGGCCCGTCGAGGTTTCCATCTCGAACAAACCGGAATTGTCCAAGCTTTGGCTAAATCGTGGGAATCTGCCCTAGGAGGGAGGCAGGTGAGCATCGCCGGGCTTCGCGCCCCTTAAAGCCGGAGGCAGGAACGGCCGCGCCGGCGACCACCGGGCACCGACTGGGATTAAACACCTCGCATCTGATACGAGAGAGAACAGGGCGTCCCTAACGCCATTTACACCTGGCCATGGCCTATTATTGACAGTACCGTGAGATGATCTCATGGAATTAACAGCTCCGCTCAAAATCTCGGCTTTGGATGAGGTTTGAATGATGAGGAGGAGGAAAGCGGGGTCTCCAGGGATATGCCTGCGCTGATTCCAATCTGAATCCTTGGCCCTTCTAACGGCCACAAAGAAGACACTAAAAATAACTTATTTTCATTACAGAGATGCTTTTAAAGAGAAACGAGAGGAAGGGGGGGAACATTTCTACAACGGGGATTAATGTAAGTTGGAGTGGAATAAAAGGAAGTCAACGCTGAGCGAAAAGGGAACTTAAAAGGAAACCAGTAGTAGATCATATAGAGTTTGTTTTGGCCTGCACTGCAGTATTATCGAGTTCTTGACCTCTGCACAGAAACAGCTATAATCTGAACTGAGACTCCTCCACTTTTAGAGTCTTTGCAAGTGTGACTCACAGTAAATTTTCAACATCGAGCATGTTTACTACATTAAACAGCGCGAGGTAGAAAAGTTCACATCACCATTTTAATGGACTCACAAACGCACACTTGTGATCTGCGCGGGTTTGTCATCCGTGTCCAGCTACCAACCACAGGCGCAGGGCTCCTTGGCAGCACAGCGGGCCGCGCTATAAACAGAGAGCAAGTAGTTGCCGAGGCGAGAGATTTCAGAGATAGTTTTGCTTCCAGTATAAGAATTACGATCTTTTAACCATTTCCTTCAAGCTGCCGCCCTCCCCAGTGCTTTGCCTCGCTACGGGAGGGATGGCGAGGCCCTCTCCCCGAGTGCCCCCGCACTGGAGACGGGCACCAGCCGGGTCGGGAGCTGTGCTGGCGGAGGGACCCTCCTGCCCACGCCCACCCGCGACCCTGCGCGGGTCCCTCGGGGAGCGGGGAAGCCCAGAGCGGTCCCTTGCAGCCAGCCGGGGAGATGGTGAGGAGCGGGAAGAGAGAGCATCAGATGGAGGTGGCTTCCTTTACACCTCCTCGCGGTGCTCTCTCGCTTCACCTCTGCCAGCCCAGGCATCGCCCTTAGGGCCGTGTTCGACACGAGGGTGTGGCCCTGACAGGACTAAGCAAGGAGGAGCAGATCCACCTTGGAGTGGGCGAGGGACCACAAACAACGCCCGAGAGCTACTCCAGAGAGGAGGTGCTGCAGGGCAAACACCGGCCGGCGCATCCCCCCGGAGAGAGAGGCAACACCTCCCGACCTCGTCTCCTCCGCCACATCACCCTCCTCTCCACTGCTCAAGGCGAACGATAGCGCCTGCCGTCCCCAGCCAGTTCGAGGAAGGATGAACCACCCCCCCTTCCAGGGATGAGCATCCATCACGGCCGGCCCCGGCGCTCGGATGCGGCGACCGAGCAAATCACTTGTCAAAGCAGAGCTGTCAAACTTCACCCGAACTGCGAAAAGTGAAAGAAACCTTCGCGAAGGAGGTGCGGAATAAATACGGTCTTGAAAAACAAACAAACAAAAAACAACAAACAAAAAACAACTTAGCCAAATCAATATAAATATGGATAAGGAAGTGAGGCCTTTTTCAGGGTCTTGGAGATGCGGCAAATGAATCCCCTCCCTTTCTGCACCGCAACTACTCATCCACAGGAAGCACACTTGTTTGTTAGGAAGATCGGGTTTTTTCCTAGGCGTTTTTGAATGTGTTCATTAGGAGGACACTTATTAATCTCCTTTATTAAGGGGAGGCCGCACCGAGCTCGCCCACCTGTGCGGGCCTCCATGCGGGAGCTCTGTGAGGCTGCCCTCGACGTGGAACAAGTTCTGCCTGACTTACACCCCCACACATCAGTACTGGCTTCTGTGAGCTTTAAGGGCTTAAATTCTTATCCTATCGGAGTAAACCGTAAACCTTCCAGGGAGTAGGGCAGGATCAAGGCTGAGGTCGGGAGGAAATCCGACCTCAGGTGCGGGTCCCAAAGCGCTGGGCGGGAGGTGGCCGTGTTAAGGCAGTGACACCGCTGTGCTCACCCCCTGCCCCACGCCGCCTCAGTGGAGGCACATGGAGGAGAGAGCTCTCGACACTATCAGCGATCTCCTATCGGAATCACATCTCCCAGGTGTTGCCGCTTCCAGGAGCGGGGCGATGGGGAGCCCTGGGGTCTGGTGGGACTGGGTAAACGGTGTCTGCCCGCGGCCGCTCGGAACTGCCGTCTCCGAGCCTCCCTACAAACCATATTTATAGATTTCCCTGCACGGCGAGCAATCTCTGTCACTTCAGCGCAGGAGTTCGCCCCGCCAATTATTCTGCAAGCTAATCTCTCTGGATAGACTTCTTTCCTTCCTTCATTACCTCATTCCCTCCTTCCCTTGACGTCAACTCACGTTCATTAGCGAAGGGGCTTCTGGAAGTGACAGAATTTTGTTGTCTCACGTCCAGTGTTGATTAATCAGAGATGATATAACCGGCCTACATGAGGAGCCGCTCGCGGCTTCCTTCTCAGAGGCACATTGTTTTGTGTGCGAGAGTTACTTAGCAACTCCAAGATACGGGACTGGCTCCAAGTTCACAAAAAGTTGAAGAATAAATTTTGGGAAACTTCTTTTACTCACTAAACACATTGTAAAACTCCAACGCCCAGCCCCCATGTCAGACCGAAAAAAAAAAAACGGGAAGCCGCGCTTGCCACAGGCCCATCTGTTGGCAAAGAGATTTCGTTGCTTGCAGCAAAGCTCCAGGCGCACCTTTCTCCCAGCAAGGAAATCCGATAGGTTTATTGCCCCGATTTCAATAAATAACCTCCCTGCAGGCCAGTTCCCATCACTTCTGGGAGCCACCGGAAGGGCTCTTGGTCTGCAAGACGAAGCCCTCAGACGGACCTGAGTTTTGATTGCGTGCCTCACGCTCTGCCTATCACTGTTGCTCACCAACCAGCGCTCCCACACCTTCCCGGCCTCGAGGGAGAGCTCCGGGGCTGCGGGAAGAAGGCGTAGGGGCCGGGCCGGCAGCGGGTCCCTGTAGCCCCAGAGTCAGCTGGGCTGTCCCGGGTAAATCCCACCGGCGTGGTTAAGGGTAAATCCCAAAGTTTTTGCACCGGCGGGCTACCGGGCAGGAGTGTTCCAAGGAGAATAGGCAGCCCGGCTCCCTTCTCCCAGAGGCGGGCGGCACCTGCCGCTGGAGAGCGGCTCTCCCGAGCCCGCCCGGGATGCTCTACCAGGGCCGCCGTCCCCCGCGAACTCCGGCTCTGGAGGGCGAGGAGACCGGGAAATCTCCGGGACACGTCGGGGCCCGGGGTGGAAGGCGCGCAGTCTTTTTTTTCGTTTTGTGGGGTTTGTTTTTTTGGAGGTTTAGTTTGTTTGGGTTGGGTTTTGGTTTGGTTTTGGGGTTTTGGTTTGGGTTGGGTTTGTTTGGTACGGTTTGGTTTTTACGTGCGAATCCTTTTTTTTCTTTTGAGAAGGATAAAAATAAATCTGTTTCCTTGCGTAAAAGACAAACTGTTTGAACGGCATGCGGGGGAGAGAGACCGCATCCCAGCAACAACCCGCGCGAAAGGAGGGAAGGCAAAGCTCCCCTGCCGGCGGAGGTACCTGTTGTAGGGGGTCCGGAGGAGCAGGGCCTGGCTGCCCGTGCAGCTGTCGTGTGGGGTGTGACAGCCGTACACCGGGGGAGGCACCGAGTATTGCTGGTCCCCTGCGGAGAAAGCGGCAAAGAGTTAACCCCTGCGGTGACCGGCCGCCCCTCCACTCGCCCTGCGCTGCAGAGCGGGCTCCAGGGCCCCGTCCTCCAGCATCTGTGCCAGGCCTGCAGGGGGTTAGGGCAGCGGTGCGACTCCGGAGCCACCCCGGATTGCCAGCCGGGCGGCAAAGTCCTTCGAGACGGGCTCCCGCGGAGGCTGAAATTACCTAGGGAGGGCTGCTGGCTGATGGGGTCCTCGTGTTTGAAGGAGTGGTTCGTAAACTGAGCGGCGGGGTGAGACGGCGTGTGGCCATAGCTGGGGGTCCCGTCAAACGCCACGGTGCTGTAACCTGCCGAAGAGACCACAGCGGGGTTAGCAGGAGCCCCCCGACAAGCCCCTCCGAGCAGGCGTCGAGAGAGAGGAGCCCACGCCCGGCCGAGCGCCGCGGGCTCCCAAATACTTGGCGATTATCGCACCCGCGGGGCTGCTGCCGGCGCTGAGGAAAAGGACAGGGCCAGAGCGTGCCCCCTTCGTTCACTCTCCCATCGCCCCTCTCAGCACACGCACTTCGCAAGGCTGCGGGCGCGGGGACCCCCGCGGGACCCCCCCGCCGCGGGCAGAGCCGAGCCGGGCTGCCCGCTCCGAGGGGCGGAAAGTCGGAAGTCTCGTTCGTGCTTAAAGAGAACAGATCGGCTTCGGTAATAAAAAGGATGTTTTCATTAATTGTTGCTCTTATTAAAGAGGAAGATTCCCATCTGCTTAGTGTACTCATCTGGCGTTTCCAATTTAGAAGTTACCCTTTAATCTTGCTTTTTTTTTCTTTATTTTTTTTTAAGAGCCGCTTTCTGAAGAGTCTGCAATAAAGAGGCGGAATGTTACATGCAAAAATAAAACTCCTCCTTTCAGTGAAAATTGCTCTCCAAAATAATAAACAGCCTATTTTGTTTCCTACACCGAGCAGATTCAGATGGAAAGAGACCACCTCTGCTGACCCCGGGCCGACACGGAATCGTAAATCAGGTGCTTGGACACCAACTTTCATTAATGACTTGGAGCTGGCTAAACAACTTCAGCTAAAAAAGTAATTACAAAGTAATATTATCTCGGAGGCTTCTCGGCTCATCAGCATTTACCCCGAGAACCAAGCTCCTCCAAGAGTCACTCAAAAAAAAGAAATAAAAAACAAACCAAAAACCAAAACAAAAAAACCACAAAACAAAACAAAAAGTCCGACGCGGGCTGGGAAAAGAAACCAAAGGGACTACGACCGCTTCCTCCCTCACACTCCTCTCCCTTAACCTGCTTATTCCAGCACGGTCATCCTCCACAGACCCGTCTGGATGGGCTGTGTGGCTGGAGAGGGATTTTATTAGTAGAGAGGGAGCACTCGGGATTGTTTTCAGGCGCTTCTCTCAGTTCCCCTTCGATGCCGGGTGCTCGGCGCAGGGCAGGTCTCTGTTTCACCGCCGCCGGTCGGTGACCACAGCGGGTTTCAGGGAGAATAAAATGCAGAGGCAGCAAAGGCATCCGAATGTTGCTTCTCCATTTTATTCTCTTTGCAGACAGGCTGGATCCAGCGACATCACAGGATGTCATTAACCTGCGCGGCTGAGCGGGAGAAACGAAGGGAGCAACGGGGAGGGGAAAAAATATAAGCCAGAAGACTTTGAAACCTTCACCTTCTCGATGATTTTAGGTCGGCCCTGAGACTGCGGGGCTGGGATAGGAGTGGGACTGGCTTGTTCCCAGCCACATGTCTCTCACATCGCCCTGACCCTAAGAGCAGAGCTCCTGTCGCGGCGACTCGAGCAGCGTTGACAAGCCGGTACCTTACGGGCTCCCATCCTACAGCTGTTTCTCGCTCGTTATCTCCTCCCTCAGCCCTCAGGGTGGAGGCTCAACCTTCAACTCCCTTTCCCCCATTTCCCTGTGCCTCTTTTTTAACTTTCAGAAAACACTGACACTTTCTACGTTACTTTTGGCCCGCCACACAGTTTCGGTGACCTTCAAAACTCAGCTCAGAGCAGAACGAGGTTTTGGCCGCATTTTCCGGTGTTGCCTGACCCAAAGCTTCAGGAATGTGATAAGAAAGTTGAGTTCTGAACCGAGCTGCCGATAGCGAGGTCTCTTTAATTAGGGCGTTATCAGAACCAGTCCTGATTAAAATGTGCTGAAAATAATTGAAAGTTGTACATCTGTTGGAGAACAGGGCCCGCTGGAGGCATCCAGTTGTTGGAGGAGCCCAGCTGGATGAAAGGCGAAGGAGAAGAAGAAAACTGGGCAGAGGTTTCAAAGCCTTAGTTTCCTAACCCCCACCCCATCCCAGACTTGGCAGAAATGTCATCGCAGAGCCAAGGTAGCATCTTTCCCACGGTCGGAGGAACCGTCTAAAAAAAAAAAAAGAGGAGTTCAACCTTGAGGAGAGCCAAAGCAAGAACATTTTATCCATCCACAAAAAAAAAAAAAAAAAAAAAAGGCAAACACCCTTTGCCGAATTGCTCCTTGCCGAAGGAGGAGCACCCTCTCTGCGTGCCGCCGAAAATAATTGTGGCTAAGCCGCAGTGCTGCACGTGCGGGAAGGGAAACCCGAGTCGAGGGGATCCCCCAAGGCCCGCATCGAGGCAGCTCGGCCTGGCAGAGCCCGGCAAGGAGCCGGAACACCGTCCCTGCTCCCCGCCACGGAGCCTTCCCCAGGCTCCTGCGGGGCCTCGGTGCCCAGGGCCGGGGAGGTGCAGAGGTGTCAGCCCTTCTGCCCCGGCTCTCCGGGCACGCACAGGTGCGGGGGTGTGCGGGGCTGGTGGTGCCGCAGGGCGCCGAGCCCGAGTAAAGCCCAACGTGGTTTAACCCAGCTTTGGTGGGTTAAAGGCTCCGTTTCTCCTCGGGGTGGTTAAACCCGGGCGATGGTGGTTAAGCAGGATGGCGCGGGGTCGCAGCTATTTTGTCCCTGGCTAACGCAGGGCCGAATTTATTTCCCTCACCCTTCCCTCCATCTTCTCGTGGCTATTTCGGCCCAGCGATTACAAATCCTCTCCGATGTCTAAAATCCTTTCAGATGTCTTTTACAACTCCCCGGCAGAGCCCTTGTCCCGGCGGGCTCTGTGCCGCTCCCCTCCCGTCCCGCAGCCGGAGCCTGGGACCCCGCGGGACACGGA